TGTTAGTCTTGGTCTTTGCACTGTGGGATGAAAGTACTCTCAAAGGTTCTAAGGGTGTGTGTGTGTGTGTGTGTGTGTGTGTGATTGGAAGGGATCACAAGATTTAATGTCCTTTAAATATATTTTTCTGGTGCATCACACTGCAAATTCTTAGACAGAAAACACCTGAAAAATATTTTGTTACATTTTCTAGTGTGTGATGAAAGAATAGATGGCCTGAAAAGATAATCAAGTTCATTATGGATAGCAGCTTTTAACAATCTCTTTTACTTTCTAAACTGCTACTTTTTATTTTTGAAATAGCTCTTTTCACTTCTAGTTTTCAGATATCCTTAGAAGTGCCAAAGGTAATGTGTTAAAAACACATAAACAAAAAAAAGTTGGTTCAGGTAGTCTTAAACCTATTGAGATAAATACCGACAAAAACTACAGGCATTAAGCATTATGCCATTTTTATAGATCACTTTATAGAGGACACTAGTATAAAGGCTGGCATGGTAGCTCAGTGGTAGAGTTTTGCAAGGCTTTGGGTTTGATCCTCAGGACTGCAAACTAAATAAAACAAAACCAAAACAAAAAAACTCATTCCTATGAATTCTATTAAAATGATTCCCATACGTGAGCATTTCAACCATGTTGATAACAGTGTCTGCCACACTTGTAGTTTTCGGGTGAACTGGCCTAATCCACTCCTCTGGTTTTGGCCAGGCAAGGAGGTTTTATCCAAGAGCATCATCTGTAATGTAGCAAATGACTCATGACACAATCTAGTATGAAAAAGAAGGGTTGACTGAATTAAAAATCTTGTAAATTTCAATTGGGAGAGAATTAATTATGTAATGGTGGATGGTGTAATGGAAAGGACACCAAGAGGAAAGTTTAGATGTGAAATCAGTGCCAAAGCATAGGATACAGGCTATAGAAAGAGGGCAGTTAAATATCATGAGGCGTGCTGATGACCAGGGAAGGAAGAAGTAGAATAAGATACAAAGTGAGGACTGTGGTAGATTGCAATACCTTGAGTGGACAGAAAGAATCATTGCATCTAGAAACAAAGACTCAGAAAAAGGGGAGGCAGTCACAGGTCACAACCTGGGTGACACTGTCCTGGATCAGGATTGAGTTCCAGTCTGTGTGAGATATAACGCTAAGTTTTTCCTGGTTTCCAGCGACATTGTTGCATTTCCAATTTTCATTAGTAATGATAGCTTTAGCAGGTGTTAACTCTTGAAACCCAAAGTCTTTGTGGAGGGCAGATGATTTTCCTTTTGAGGGGGCCGGAATCACAAAGACCTCACAGTAGGCTTGGAGGCGTATCAAAGGGGCTTGAGAGCAGGGACACAATCTTAAGAGTGCTGTCTGACTCACGATCCCTCTATTTCTAACCCTTTCAAGGAAGGGCTCTCAAGGAAGTCAGCACAAAAATAAAGACAACGGAATTGTGGCTGGAGGCGCACCTGAAGAAGACCAGGCCTCCAGATAAAGATGCAATGGCCAGGCCTGCATGCTTGCCTAAGGGATAAACAGCAATTTGGAATTATCCTATAATTAGCACTACCTGGTCCAATAAGTTCAGATAGGCATCAGGTACACGTGTGGATGAGCACGGCGTCTGGACCCTCCCTTCCCAAAAATGCCTTCATTCTTTCCATGTATCCCTGCTATGTGACTCATCTCCTTATTAGATCAATATTAGCTAAGAAACTAAACTTGTAACCTACAGGTTGATAGCCATTTGACCCACCTTGTACCCACATTGTGACTTTGCTGTATAAATTACTCCTGACAAAGGGCTTCATTGGACACCGCATTTGCCTCCTGGAAATCCAGGAGCTATTCTTCTCTCCTTATTTCCCACAAAACTCTCCCAACTTCTTCTGCTGGTTCTCAGCTTCTTTCCTTGATGTTGTGAGACCACAAACTTGGCACGTTTGGCAGCTACCTGGCTGGAAGTTATGTTTCTCCTACATCGTTTTGGAGGCCTCATCAAGATAGTTGGAAGGAGCTAGGCATTTGTTTTTGTTTCATGGCACCCCTAAATACTTAGAGTGATTTCTGGAGTGTGATTCATTTAGGTAATCAAAAATCGTCATCTGCTGTTCATGGCTTGCTTATGCCTTTTGTTGGTTGCTTGTGCCATGTTAAAAGTTGAGAGCGCTCATGCCTGTGATTTGAGTTTCTGTGAAGCAACAGTTTTATTTTGGGAAAAAGGGCTTTGTGCCTTTACTTGACGTGTTTGGTTGCTACAAGATGGGTCTATTGCAGACAGCTTTTAGAATGGTTTTTTGCTGACAGATTGTGCAGGTGTGTCTGAAGATTGAACCAGAAGGTATAGGACAGGTTTTAAAAGTTCACCTCTGTCAGGGACGCATGTCACGAAGTGGTCATGTACTTCTCTCTGCAATCCTGAAAATCATTTTTTCCCCTTTCCATATTTGGAAGCCTCTGACCCCCTAGAAAATGAGTGCTCATCAATAAAGGTACTGAAGGTAGGCATTCTGTAACAGACTAGATAAGCCCAATCCCTATGTTAGAAAGGAATCAGAATTCCTGGTCATCCAGGAAGGCATATATGAGGGTTTGGGACAAACCAGTGCATGGACTGGGGTTTCTCGTGTGACTGGCAATATCGAGATCCTGATCCTGAGACACAAAGTGGAAGAAACCAATCTTGGATGACACTGTGATCATGTGACACAAAGTGGAAGAAACCAATCTTGGATGACACTGTGATCATGTGACACAGCTACTTCCAAACACACACACATATATGAGCCCAGAACAATGTAGTTTAAAGGAGCATCTCCTCTGATTTTCTTTCTCTCCCTCTTGCTCTCTCTCAGAATGTTAAAAAGTTGTTCAGGAACTCTGTTGGTTTTGTTGGTTTTCTGCTGGGTAGTGTGGTTGGAGCCAGTCATAGCTTTTGTGTTTGGGGGCAGGTTTTGGTGAAGGCTGGAGGCCCACCCTGGGAAAGCTTCTGGTCTTGATCATCTTTCTGCCCTTGAGATGGTTAGGGTTCAGTTCTCAAGCTCCAAAGCAGTTCTCTTCTTTGTGGCAACTAAATTCCAGGAAGTTTCCAGAATCGTGAGTTTCCCCTTCCCTGCAACTCTACTAGAGTGAAACTGACCTTCACTTGTCTCTGGGCCATATTCTTAAAAACTGGTCTAGATTTCATCTTCAAGCTCTCAGAGAATAAATGTGAATGTTTCAGTCTGAATAGTTCAGCCTTTCAGCCCTTAGGCAAGACTGGAAGTTAACTCCTTTCACTTCCCTTTTCCCTCAAGAATGCCACTCCTCGAGGTAGACTGGTTTTACAACAGAGATGAGTTCACTGGTAGCAAAAAAAATCCTAGGGCCCCTTATGGGTTTAAATACTGCATATATGAGGTAGCCACAACCCCCAGACCCCAAAGCCCTGCCTCTCTCTTGCAGTGGATTCTCTCTGAGACATGTTGCCAGGCCACCAGTTTTTAAAAGCCTATGCCTAAGTATGGCCGAAGGGTCACAGCATCACAGGAAGGAGTCACATGATCACAGTGGATAAACCCAGTTCTGGCCACTTCCTTGCATGTCCAGTTTGCCTCTGTTGGCAGTGGATGGGGTTACCTCTAAGGGATACCTTAGATTGGCTACAGAAGAAGAGGGATGCCTTTTCTCCCCTTGTTTCTTTTCAACATGAGAAGAAACTGTCATAGAAAGACATCTGCAGCAGGGCAGACTAGAGTGCTGGCAGGCCTTACAGTTTGATGACATAAAGGTTACATACGATTTAAGTTCATATATATGTTTCTGTGTGTTAACTGCTAAGTATACAATATACCCCAAAAGTTCTACTTAAGTTGGCTTTTAGATAAACACTCAAGACACTATCTCAAATGCTTGTGATTCATATAACATAATAGTAGGCTAATTTAAGTCACTTGGTGAGTGTAAAAGTGTCTTTAAAGTTGGTAACATATTTCCATCCAGATTATTAGATAACTAAGATAATATAAAAAATCAGTATTATAAATGCAATGTCTATTATTGTCCATGTACCATAATTTAAGAATTTCCCATGGTGAAAGGTAATATATATATATATATATATTTATATATATATATATATATATAAAACACTTCAAAGTTACATGTATATAAAACTTTAAGGAATATTAACTGTTATGATGAATTATCTAGCATAATTATTTTGGCTATAATTAAAAGGTTAAGTTTTGTATGTCTAAGACAATATGGTTTTCTTAAAATATTTAGATGTTTTTGGTTAAACTTACAAAACTACATTTAAAAGCAAAGGTTCAATATTTTACTAAAATAGTTTCTTGTGTTCTCATCATTAGGCTTTTGGTTACTAAAAAAGTGAGCTTTAAGAGTTAAAGAGTATTTAAATGTTAACTTATAAAATGTTTTCAGTAATCAGTTCATGAGTAGTTAAATAAACAACTAGTATCTTAGTTTATGACAACATATAATTAGGCATATATGTATGTATACATCTCAAAACAAGCTATGCTGTGAATCTAAGCTTTAAAGTAAAGGTTATAGAGTTAAGACTATGTAAGTTTAATACATATAAAGTTAATAATATGTGTTCTTTTTATATGATATATGTTTAGACCTTAAACATGCAGAATGATCAAAATTTTACATCTCTTTAAATATGGTCTAGACATTCAAACTTGATCTACATCTATTGGCAGTGATTTAACAAGCATTCTTGTTATTATATAAAGTAATACACATGTATGTTGGATGATCAGTCTATTTGTTTTCATTAACACTATTTCCTAAACTTATCAGAGCTGTAAAGATGTCTTTAATTCTTGTCAATATGGTTATATCATATAAAACCTGTTAAAGGAGTCTAAAATTTATCCTAAGAGTCCAAACTAAGTACATGTAAAGATCTCTATATAGCTGTTGATTCGGTCAGTACTCACTAGAGAACAGGTTTAATGCAAGATAGGAGAAGTATATAAGGATTTACAAGATTGACTCACAGTGGCTGTCCACAGGGTCAGGTGTGGAAGAGCGCAATCCAGTCGAAGGCCTGGAGTTCACTGTAGTGTCCTGTGTGAGCTCAGGATGCTGAAGGATCTGTAGTGCAAAGTTAAAAGGTCTGGGCTGGAGGCTGAAGAGTTCGCCTTGGAAGTGAGGAGCTGATGTGCAAGGTGAAGGTGAAGCCTGGAGTTCCTCTAAAGAAACACAAGTGACTCTTCCTTCTTTGTTTCCCTTTCATACCATCCAGATGACAAGCCTCCTTAAGGTGGATCTTCTGCCTTCAGTAGATCCCCTCTGCCACACCCAGAACTGTGCTGATTCAATTTAGTTAGGGGTTTCTTACTCAAGTTGACACAATTTGTTAACTACCACAGCTGTGACACCAATTATAGTTAATCACGGTACATTAAATGATATATTTGTGTCTTCCAAGTGTGCAGGTCTTCAAAGATACAAAACTGAAAAACTTCTCAACACACTGGTGATCCATGGTGAATAAACTTTTGGCTCAGGTGTCTGGCTTTTTCTTTCATGTATTTCAGCTACTTAGGATGAAATGCGCATGTCAGTCCAGCATGATACAGCCAGTCAAATGATGAGAATATTTTTTCATGCTTATGTTTATGTGATTATTATGTAATTATTTTATAACAGTTAAAGATAAACACTATGCAGTCCAAGCAATGTCACTCTAAAAATTAAAGGTTCCATAAAAACCTATGATGTACATTTATAGACAAGTACCTTCTTCTTAAATGACACTATAGAGAGACAACAAATTTAGATACAAGTTTCTGTATATCATTTACTGTCTTGTAATTAGATAAAGATGATAGATAAAGATAAAAAGTTAGTGTACACTAAGATGAAAAACACCTGCCTGGCAAGCACAAGTTCCTGAGTTAAATACCAAAAGAAAGGGAAAGAAAATTTAAATGTGTTTCAGAGATAATAACAAAACTTAATGGTTCTAGTATAATAATGTCATCATGATTGTTATGCTAAAATATTATATCTTGCAGGGTGTGGTGGCTCACACCTGTAATCCCAGCATTTGGGAGACTGAGGCAGGAGGATCATTGCAAGTTTGAGACCAGCCTGGGCTACAAAGTGAGTTCAAGGCCAGCCTGAACTCCATAGTGAGACCTTGTCTCAAAAAGACAAAAAAAAAAAAAAAAAAGAAAAAAATTTTAAAAAGGACTGGGGATATAACTTAGTGGCACAGTGCCTGCCTGGCATGTGCAAAGTCTTGAGTTTGATTCCCAGTACCAAAAAATAAATAAATAAATAAATAAAAATAAAATGTTATATCTCTTTTGATTTTGATTTTTATCTGTAAAACTTTATAATTGTTATCTGTTAACATTCGCAGGGATGCAATTTCTAAAACAACCACGACTGGTAAAGAAACAATAGCTCCTTGGTTATATTATATATTTCAAGGCGCTTGATGCTTAGATAAGATCATAACATTCAACCTATTGCTCCCACTGAAGTACTGATCTTCTGAGTGTTCAACAACTGAGATTTGGAGACCAGAGCTTGACAACTGGGCAAAGAGCACAGCCAATATTTTGGCCTTCACCCTCCAAGGTCAACAAAGACCCAAGTCATGAGTGGAGCTGTTCTATGGGTCCTAAAACTTGGGTGAGTTCACCAACTGCCTGAGCAGGGACGTTGTTTGACCCCACAAGACAGGAGTGAACCAATACACAGTGCACTGAAAATGAGGTCACCAGAGAGTGGAACTTCTCCCATACTTCCATGGGAAACCAAGTGGTCAAGCAAGATAAAATGATACTATATCTTTATAACTTGGGCACATTGTTTTATTTCTGTAAACTCAACATCTGCATAGACAAATTGGGAGTATTGTTAGTATATCCTATGTAGTATCAGTGTGTCTTCTACATGGAAAACTAGTAATAGAGAGGTAAGAACATTTTCTGATATATAGTAATACTTAAAAAACATCACTATGATGCAAATTGATATTAGGCAGCATTAATTGTTCTCACCCAGCAGTAGGAATTAAAAGCATTACATCTAAACTTGGAGTGTAGGGTAACACATATTTTATTTATATACAAATTTTGCTTATGGGAGGAAAGTCTTTTTCTAACCACATTTTGAGAATGAGAAAGTTTTTCAACTGAAGTGGCCTAAGAGGTGAATAATCGTATTTATATTAAAGGAGGTTTCTGACTCCCTATTGGCCAACATATTCCATCCCATTTTGATGGCAGTATGAAGATAACTTTGAATAATACATGGTCACTTTTAAACCCACAGCTCACATCTCTGTGTAGGTAGCTGCTGTATCAAAATGTATTAATTTAAAGTCTGCTTTGCATTACGAGGGGCCACCAATAGCAGCCAACTCTGCAAGAGACTAAAAAAATCATTCCTTTTTTTCAGTATAGAATAAATAATTCCTAAAATCAAAATATGTTTGTGTAGATTGTATTAACATGTTATCTGACTGGCACCTTATAAGGCACTCTCTCATTTCACACATTCCTTCTATTCATCCATGAATTTAGTTTCCCAGGAACATGAAATGCAAGTTGTTTTTTTTTTTATTGATTGATTGACTGATTGGTTATGAGTGGATTTAGTGCTGTCACAATAATCTCTCTGATTAAATGTTATTCCCACCAGTCAAGTTCCATTTGCAAAGAGTGAAGAAATAAAACTCTCTGTGTTCTATAGGTCAAATTTTGAACATAGCAGGAGGTGGGATATGGAATGTAGGATGGGAGACAATTTTATACTAGATTGGAGTAAGTCTAGTTAAATGCTTCCTAAATGTTGAGACACTGGCTAGAAGCTGTGTTTACATGCCTGACTTTGAACTTTTCACATCAGAAAAAAATTCTGATGGAACCCCAGAGAACAATGAGGGATTCCAAAGCTGATTCACAGAATGTGTCTATAGGGAAGCAGATTTAGTGACAGGTTGTGACTGGCAAACAAAGAAATAGCAAAGTGCCATGCTTGAGAAATATGGAGACACAAAGAAAGGAGAAATGAATCTTTGGACAGAATTAGGGGAGCAATATAGGTCTGAAGAGTAGTTCATATAGAATCTATTTTGTAAGTTGTTGCAACATCTGTTGCTGTCTGTGGCAGTAGGGTAGTTGACACTAACTTGACCTTCAGCCATGAGGGAGTTTTTAAGCATGATGTCTTATAAATATTAAGGGTTGATCTGTCTATAAAATATGTTGCCATTGACTGTACTCATCACAGTGTACAACAGATATTCCACCTTACTCCTTTTATCCAACTGTAATTTTGTATCCATCAGTCAACATCTCCCTAACTCCAGTCCTCAATGAGGTATCACCTCATACTTGTTACAATGGTGATGATGTACGTGGCTTGGTGGTACATGCTTGTAGTCTTAGAACTCTGGGAGGGAGGCTAAGGCAAGGAGATTTGTCACATTTTTTATCTTAACCTGAGCAGCTTAGTGACTTAGCAAGACTCTATCTCCAAACAAAGAAAAAAGAACAACAACTGAGGATGTAGCTTAGTGAAGTCTAGGTTCATCTTTTCTGAAGAAAAGAGGAGCAATATTAAGTGTTGGTGATAGTGTGATGAAAAATAAACTCGTGTACTGTTGGTGTAAATGTAAATTATTACAACCATTATGGGAAGGAGTGTCTCCTCCAAAAAGATAACTGCCATGTGACCAGCTACTGGGCATAACTCCAAAGGTATGCTGGACAGCCATCTGCACTCAGATGTTCACTGCGTCACTACTCCCAATGCTCAATAGATGGGACCAACCTAAGTGTCTGTCAACTGATAAATGAATAAATAAAATGTGCATATGGGACATTATTTAGCCATGAAAAGAAAGAGGTCATGTCAGAAAGAAAAGTAGCATTTTGGAATTTGCATTGATCCACTGAGCTTTTCTTTTGTCTTTATTTGTACATACCAGGACCTTCCCACAGACCTACATCCCTAGTACCCACAAACTACCCCCTGCTCTTTTCAGATAGGGTCTCATTTAATTGTTGATTTCCCTAACTTGAGATGGAATTTGTGATCCTCCTGCCTCAGCTTCTTTTCTTTACAAATTTTCTGTCTTATGGTGACATTTTTATTTTGACGTGAATGTATTTACATCAAGGTTTTGTGATAAAATTCAAAGTAGTATTATATAAAATCTCTATTGAAAAGACAGGGTTCCTACAGTTACTTGTAATACAATGATTTGTAAACTAAAATGTATTCTGTATTGCAGTTTTTCCCATTTCCACAGTGTTGAATCATTGCTTTACAAATATCACCTACATTTCAACTGCCTAGTGTCTTGGCCAGCATAGTGACGGGTACCTACAGTCCCAGCTGCTCAGAAGGCTGAGGCCAAAGGACCCTTTGCACTTGAAAGTTTGAGGCCAAGCTGGGCAACAGCGTAAGACACTACCTTTAAAAATAATTAACAACCAAAAACTCTAATAGTTGCCAATCTGCACTGTAATCAAAGTACTTCTCTTTGGTCACATCGTGACTCAGTTTGGTTTATCTGATTTAAATGTTGCAGCAATTGCGTTGATTCATCAGGTTCTCAGAGTCTGCTCACAGAATCTTTTGTTCTGACCTCTTACTCCCTTGATTGCCATTTTCCAAAAATTTGGAAGCATTCATGATAATCCTGGAATTCTGCTCAGTTAAAAAAATCCTGATTATTACTCTCTGCACCAATTCCAACATTTATTCTACTCACTAATATTAAAATACGCACTTAAAGCCAAAAAAGGTTCAAAAGGCTCATAATTTCGTAAAGAAGGAATTCTGAAAGGAAGAGTTAAGAATCATATAAAATCCATCCCCCCTTTTTTCTGGATGTACAAGATAATATAAAATCTTTTTCCTTGAATATGAGTTGCATCCGCTAATGACATAGTATCATATTAATTTTGACTCTCTGGTTGCTTTCATTAGCCTGTAAATTCTTCATTAGAATTCACAAAACCAAGCATATCATACACATCTACACTTAATCTTCCTCAGATTCTCCTCTAACATGTAAGACAGTTCATAATAAGTGTCTGGCTGGAATATCAGTTAAATTATTTAGT